TTTTATTCCCCCTTTATTTACATGGTTTGTAGATATCATGCTCACAAGAATTGGACGAGTTTAACTCCATCAAATTGCATATATAACTTGATGAGATCATTAGCATGTATGTCAAGCACTTCAATCTCACAAAAGTCAATTAGAGCAGACAACAACATTAAGACAAGATTTTCAGATGCACCAAAATAAAGAGGCATAGTATTGTGCCTTCTACAAATCTCAGAATTAGTAAATTGCCACACACCCTCAGATGCCTAAGGTAGATCATATACCTGAATGCTCACTGCAGTTTTATGCCAGTATATCACAAAGAAACAATAAATGTGGACAAAAAGAAGTGAAAATTAGAGGAAAATGAATTTATTACAACAACAACATACCCAGTGTAATCCCACTAGGTGAGGTCTGGGGAGGGTAGGGTGTGTGCAAACCTTACCCCTACTTGTGGAGGTAGAGAGGTTGTTTATGAAAGACCCTCGGCTCAAGTAACTCATAACAACATACAGACGCAAAGCAGACATAACAAATAGAGTAATAAAGAAATCATTACATAGCATTCAGAAAAAGGCATGATAATAATTTAGTGGACCAAATATACATACCAACCCTGGCAAGCCGATTCACCCATCCAGGAATCCCTTTCCCTGTTAATCTCTGTGCTATGTCATCTGTGAAATGGTTACAGTTCTTGGAAATGAGGTGATAGGTATCCCCGTGATACTCAGAAGCCACATCCTCAAGAAATGCATGAAATTCAGAGGGAGGCATCTTAATACGACCCAATGGGACTGAACATCTGTAGATGAAACCAGGGCAGCTCTTAGGTTCCACTTCAAACACGCCACTTATGGGAAAGTCATGCGCTCCATATCCATATTCCATACCATGGACTGGAAATTTTTTTCCATTGGCATATGCAGAGAGCAAAAACAAATTCAAACTCCAATCAACAAGAGGTAATTTAATATGCTATATTGAAGAGCTTTATATAAATGTATTCAGCATATGTTAGTTCTAAATTGCATACTCCACATACAAAAGAACCTAAAGAGTTTATCCAAATTGAAAATTTTCTTCTTTTTACTTGAAAAGAACATAGCTAGTTAAAGAATTAAGTTCTTTAGATGACAAATAAGTGTACAAATTTTCCTCAAGTAATTTGACCAGTTTGAGATTCATCTTATCATACTAGACACCACTATGGGGTTTTATGTACTTTCTTGATGCAAAATTACAATGTAAAATTCTTATGTTTCTTATTTGAACTTTTATGGCTCCAAATTTTGAAGGTGATGATTTAACCTCCAATCATCAAACAACCCATCCTAAGATAATGTAAAAGCTCAAAGATGCCACTGGCATCCCACACACAAAGAATCCACGTTAACAGGGTCTAGGGAAGGGCCACACATTAAGGGGTGTGATGTAGACAGTCTATCCTAATACAAGTATTAGTGGCTGCTTCCACGACTCGAACTTGTGACCCATAGATCAGACAGAGACAACTTTACTTCCAAGGCTCCCCTTCTCACAGTGCAGTAAACGTGGATGCCACTATCGTGGAGAAAGAGCTCCACTCTCTGGCATTTCGTGGATGAAATGCTATAGTAACACTAAAGGAGGACAAAAGTCCATGGGAATCGGTGTGGAGAGAGAGAGAAATGAGGTGCTGGAGGAGAAAGGACTCAATGCAGGAAAGAAGTATATGGTTCATCTCTCTAACTAAACTAATAGTTTGTGTGTTGTGGAGCGAAAAGTGCCTGGGATAAGGAGCAGCAGGGGGAGAGAGAGAGAAAGAAGGTTGTAGAATTCTTATCTTCCTGAGACAACTGAAACTTCAGGTCTCACTACCTCTCAATAGTTCCATCAATACTTGTATGAAACTGCCACTTTCAAGATATAGGAAACTCATAGATATCTATCTAACAAATAATTTAGGAGACCAGATCAGTAATCCCTGAACACAACGACTACAAATTTTAGCGGTTGACATACTATATTATTCCAAGTATTAAGCTGAATATAAAACTTCCATAAAGAAATGGCTTATCTTGAATACTCCAGACTGTATGAGCAAAATAAGTTGCATCTACTGTCTTGCAACTCTGGTCATAATTTTTTCTTATCAGGATCTCTTGGGTAATAATTATTAGGAAGTTTATGTATAACAACATTAATATAACAGGTGAATCTAGGAAATGTTAGTTGGGGTAGAGAAGTGCCATATTTCCATCTTCGGGGTTGGCAGTTCTCAACATTTTCAATGTCTCAAGAATCTGGGAAGGTGAAGCAATGGTATAAGATATCTACACACCATATTAGCAGAATTTTTTGTCCTGCGACAGTAATGCTTGTACAAGCATGACCCTCAGAAGTTTAAAAATTCAGTAAATTGTAGGGAAGAATGAAATGAGAGACGTTAAACAAGTAAAACAGACGAGATCCATTTCATGGACTGGTAAACTGTTGTTTACTTTTGCACGTTCCATGAGCTCCTCAGTTAGCAAGCAACTAATATATATAAGCTATTCCTTTTACTCTCACCTATTCGTTGACAACGACAAACAAAATCCCAGCATCCACTTACGATGACCATTGCAAAATTTACGGCTTCATGCTTACCCACTAAGTTGATAATCATTCAATACCACACGTATTACACGACTCCCACTAATCTCTTATATCTGTGCAAATCTACAAGCCTTTCTCTTTTTGCCCAACAACAAAGAAAGTAGTACTCCGTTTCAATTTGTTTCGAAATTTAAGAAAGTAAAGAAGACTTTTGAAACTTGTGGTTTTAAACGAAAGAGTAAAGATTTGTTGAATGTACCCAAATTACTGTAATATTTGCGGTATCAAACATATCATGTGGAAGTTGAAAGTAAGGAGTTGTCAAAATAGGAAAGAGGCATTCCTTTTTAAACGGACTAAAAAGGAAATAAGACAAACAAATTGAAACGGAGGGAGTATCAAAGATCTCACATCTCTGATATGAGCTAAACACCCCATCATCAACTTGATATTAGAAAGATCAAGAGTACACTTATTCAGAATCATTTTCAAATAAATATTTTTGATAACGAAAGTCAGCCTCACATCTTTTTCTTTCGTTCTCTTTTTCTCACCTTTGGGGCTTAAGGGTTTTGCACCCAAGATCCATTAAGATTTTCAATAGATCGGGAAGGTTTAAAGCCGGTGGGTGCAAAGTTCCCATTGCACCTACTACTTCAGTGACAATTGATTCAGACTTCAACCCACCCATGACCTTAACACTGGATAACAAAAGATTCCATATTTTTTTCCGCTACCGTTCACGTTTGCACAAGGTAAACCCCACTCACATGTAATAGCTCGCAAACCACACAGAAGAGGTAAACCACACTGAGATAGCATGCAGGGAGTTTTGAACTCTAGACCCCCTAATGGCACTTGTTGTGTAGCCATTAGAAGAATAATTGTAACTCTCTTATTGTTATAGTGAAGCAATTCGGATCTTGTCGATCCCGTGGTGGTTACCTTCGTTTTGAAGGATTTTTCCACGTTAAACTTGGTGTTCTTTATTTTAGATTTTCGTTTTCATCTTTTCGTCACAACACCTACTACTTCAGTGACAATTGATTCAGACTTCAACCCACCCATGACCTTAACACTGGATAACAAAAGATTCCATATTTTTTTCCGCTACCGTTCACGTTTGCACAAGGTAAACCCCACTCACGTGTAATAGCTCGCAAACCACATTGAGATAGCATGCAAGGAGTTTTGAACTCGAGACCCTCCATTATCAAAAGGAAACAAACAAGATCAAGAAAACTTACAAACACCACCTACTTAACATTTTCATCTAATAACTCAAAACTCAATATCAACAAACAGAAAGATCTTGCTAATAATCCAAAAACTCCCTTACTCCTTAACAACCAACCCCACAACAAATTCTTCTTCTTTTTTCAGGATATGGTAAAGCCTTACCCCAACCCAACCCCCCCCCCCTTCCACCCACCCTCCAAAATCCCCCTTCCCAAGAGCTCAAAAGTAACAACCCCACAACAAACAATCCAATAACAAATCTAAATTCTAACAACAAGAAGCAAGCAAAATCAAAGAAACAAAAAATCTAATTTCACACAATGTTAGAATCTAGAACACAGAAAAAAAACAAGATTTTAAAAATGAAATTCTCCAAAAAGATCAAATCTTTTGTCTTACCTTCAATACCAGAATGAAATATTCCAAAGCCAAGCCAAACTGAGTACTGATTTGCAGGGGTGAGATCATATACATTCAATATAACTGGTGTCTCATAGCTTCCATCATTTTTAGCTGCATTATTATTATCATCAGGCTTGGAATTTGAGGTGCTTTCTTCTCCCATTTGACTCCTTTTTTTTTTTTTTTTTTTGAAATTTCTGTAATAAGGGAAATCTGGGATTAGGAAAAAGATTGTCTTTTTGAGTCCATTTTTTTATGTTTTATTTTTTATTTTTTTTTGGTAAAAGCAAATAGCCTTTGATTCTTGATTTGTCTCTCTGGCAAAGAGAAAAAGGTTTGAACTTTGTAAAAATGGAAATCACAAAAAAATGAAAAAAGACAAGGGTAAATTGGTAAATGAACATATAGTTTGCTGTCTGCTTAGATTGTTGTAATATTTTTGTTAGTCTTATGTCATACAAAAACAAAATAAATCATGTGGAGGGTTAGGGTATGTTGGGGTCCCTTCATTCTCTATTGTCTAAAATCATTTAATGGATAATATATTAGTCGATTAATTTTTATTCGCATGTTATATAATTCTTTCTTTAAAGGGTAAAACTTTTCATTCGACTTCTAAATCTGTCTTAATTCAAATATCGAAATACTCTTAAATTTACTGATAAATTTAGAAGGTTACGATATATTTTACCACAAATGGATAAAACTAAAATAGAAAGGGCAAATTTGTCTTTTACAATTAATGCAATATACGGGTAAGTACAAATATTTTTCTCCTTCTCTGTGAGCATCGAATTAGGGTTTCGAAAAATCGGCAACGGTGACCGGAAATCCCCAAATCAATCTCCGACGCCTGCCAATTTACTGTTTCTCAGCTCATAGCCGCCGTATACTACTCCGATTTAGGTAAAAGCTCGCAACTTTGCCCCATTTTTTACTATTTTCCTTGATAAAATTAGTTTTAAAATTATCTCCGATTGGAAATGTTCTTTTCATGGGTACAATTCTCTAGTTTTTATTTCTGTATTGAGGAATTGGAGTTTTCTTTCGGGTATATAGTACTATATTTTAAGTTACAGAGAATTTAGCAGTATTGTATGCTTATTTTTTTTTCGAGCCAGCTTACCTAAACCCACGGGAACAGGAGGCTAAAACAACAAATGGGAAATCACCGAGTGTTTTTGTCTTTGCTGGAATTTGAACGTAAGACCTCATGTTGCTGCATTGACCACTAGGCCACACGCTTAGCAGTAGTATTATATTAGAAAGGTTCTTCTTTTCTGTATTGTTCAATGGTTAGCAGTAGTATTTTAGTAATGCTTTTATCAGAAATTAGTCGTATCAATCCCTGATGTTTTTCTGTCATATGGAGTTCATCTAGGTTGACTTTTCATGAGTGGTTGCTCACACACGATTAGATTTGGCACAGGGTTGGGGAGGTACAATGTGCAGCTGAATTTTTTTCATCGAAACAAACTTGAGTGAGCTTTAGGATTAAAGTTCATAGTCAAAGAGCTGCTAGGTTTTGGTTCGATGCATTCCTGTGCCAAATAACTGGCGGAAGGCTCTGGAAACCAATTTACTTGAGTTTGACAGAGGAGAGTAATTTCTATGAAGGAATGTTAGATACCTTGTTTGTTCATACTGTGAATGCTCGTGCAAGATGTGTGGTAGATGCGAGCTCAAAGCTTGGTTAGGGAATCAAGGGTGGTAGTTAACCTGTGAAAGGTAGAGAGATGAACCTATATCCACAAAGTTTCAAAGCTTGAGACATCAAATTTCTTGGTTATCATCAAAAAAGAGAGAGTTTGCACTTGAAGACCTCTAACTGAATGTGAAATGGATTAGGTGGGACATTTTACTGTGTGTGTTGGGCTAGCAGCTTGATTATTTTCTTTGATTGTAGAAATATCATCAGTTCATCATTATAGATGAAATCCCACATTGTTGGACATATAAAAAGCAAAAAATCGATCGTTTTATCCTTAATGTGGATTGAATATTTCTCTATTCTACTAGAGTTTATGTCTGGATGATCTTTAGCGGGAGTATGATATGATTGGGATTATGCAACAGGTCATAACCTCAAGCCTGTTGCATTTATTCTATGTTCAGGTTAATGACTTTCTTGCTTGCGTCTAGTGAAATGTATTTAGTTTCAATTTGTCGCTTTTATTTGGACATATGAAGTTATTTCATTTGTTTGTCTTTTTAGAATCCAGTATGCTTACAAAGTTGATTTGTTCCAAAATTCTGCAAGGATCTCTTATAGCCAACTGATGCATACTATTAAACATGATATTATGATTTCAAATGGGATTTTTTGCATTATGTCCAAGGAACTGCTCTTTTCATTTTTAATCTTATTGAAAATTGTTCTTTTCATTTTGTAACTAGATAAATTGAGTCTGACTAAATGCTCTTAAAAATTAATGAGATTTAACGATTGGATGAAGACCAAGCCAGCAAGCCATATAGCGTAGTTGTATCCCGGCATAAAAGTAGAGAGGTCTAACTGATATATTCATTGACTGAAATCTCCCTTGTCTCAGACAGTGATATTGTGATGTTCTTAGTGCTGTTACATTGTCATGTCTAAGGTTGTAATGCCTATATTTCCCGGAAAGATGGTTTCAGAGGTGTGAATTTTAATGACCTAGCACCTACGACTTGATAGGCGTAAAGTCTTCCTTTGTCTGTTTTCTTAAGAACTCTGGGATTGTGGAGCATCATCTAGGAGTGTCTGCTTCATCTGCCTAAATGTTTCTTATATTTGTAAACTTGTTCAAGATTCTTTTGGTTGTGTATTACGGTGATATAATCAAGAATTAAATCTCAGTTAACCATAGTAGTTTGCAAATACTATATTTTCCGCGAATATATTGGGGATGTGGGTGGGACCGAAAGGATGACTCTGATTGTTTTCAAAAAAAGTTTTGGTTTTACAAGGTTTACTGTCTGTTCCACTGTACATGGGTTAATTTCCCTGACGCCATTTACCTCCAACCCCCACCCACCCCCAACCCAGGAAAAAATTGTATCTGGATTGTAGAAGTTCAGATATTTGTTATTCTGTTAATGTATGGACAAAAGAATTTTCCCTTTTCTGAATAGTTCATAAGGATACATGGGTATTCGAGCTTATTCGACGGATTACTGAAAGTAGTTTGGAAAAGAATTATTGTCCTGAACAGCTGTTATACCTGCATGTGTTGTGTTAATGACACAATTGATTGTGATGACATTAACCTGTCCTAGTAACTAGGTCGATCAGAAGTCACATTGTTTAATGTGCATGGTTGCAAATTTTTTGTATCTGGATCTTTTTAACCCTACATATAACCCTTTTGGTCTTTTCTGATCAAGGCTTGAGAGGATTCATGAAAGATTTGTGCATTTTCGAACTGCTTGCCTGCTAATGAAGTGTCCTGTTGAATATTCAGGTTTGGATACATTGGCTGCTTTCTTCAGTTCCTTCACATGTCAATTCCCAATAAGTTAAGTGGGGACTTTAGCCATTTAAAAGTGGCGATCTCATAGATTGCTATTCCATGGAGGATCAAAGCATTTTTGTTGGCCAAGAGTTTCCTGATGTCAAGGCCTTCCGCAATGCAATTAAAGAGGCTGCTATTGCACAACATTTTGAGCTTCGCATAGTAAAAAGTGACCTGATTCGCTACATTGCAAAATGTGCCTCAGAAGGTTGTCCATGGCGTATTCGTGCTATTAAGCTTCCCAATGCTCCTACCTTTACTATAAGAAGCCTTGAGGGAACACATACTTGCGGGAAAAATGCACAAAATGGACATCATCAGGCTTCTGTTGATTGGATAGTAAACTTCATAGAGGAGCGTTTGCGTGATAACATAAATTACAAGCCAAAAGACATTTTGCATGATATCTATAAACAGTATGGGATAACTATACCATATAAGCAAGCTTGGAGAGCCAAGGAAAGAGGGCTGCAAGCTATATATGGATCTTCCGAAGAAGGGTACTGTCTATTACCTGCATATTGTGAGCAAATTAAGAAGACAAATCCTGGAAGTCATGCTGAGGTTTTTACAGCTGGTTCAGATAGTCGGTTTCAGAGGTTCTTCATTTCCTTTTATGCTTCTCTTCATGGGTTCCTGAATGGTTGCTTGCCTGTTATTTGTCTTGGTGGTATCCAGCTTAAGAGCAAATACTTAGGTACTTTACTATCAGCAACTTCTTTTGATGGTGATGGTGGAGTGTTTCCGCTTGCTTTTGGTGTTGTCGATGAAGAAAATGATGATAGCTGGATGTGGTTCTTGTTAGAGTTACGCAAAGCTCTAGAGATGAGCACTGAGAAGATACCACCTCTTACTTTTCTGTCTGATGGACAGAAAAGTATTGCAGATGCTGTGAAAAGAAAGTTTCCCTCTTCTTGTCATGCAATATGTATGCAGTACCTGAGTGAAAGCATCAGTAGTGATTTCAAGAACTCAAGGCTTGTGCAACTCCTGTGGAAAGCTGCGTATTCCACGTCCACCAGGGGGTTTAAAGAGAAAATGGCTGAAATTGAGGAGGTTTCTTCAGATGCCGCAACGTGGCTTCAACAGTATCCTCCTTCACACTGGGCATTAATACATTTTGACGGAACAAGATATGGTCATTTCTCTTCAAACATTTATGAGTTCAATAAATGGATTCTTGAAGCGCGTGAGCTTCCTATTATTCAGGTGATTAAACGTATTCACTGTAAGTTAACAGAAGAGTTTGAGCTTCGGCGATCAAGGAGTAGCACATGGAGTTCTACCCTTTCTCCATCTGCTGAGAAACGCATTATGGACGGAAGAACTCATGCTTCCACATATCAAGTGCTAAGGTCAGATGAAGTTGAATTTGAAGTTATCTCAGCAGAGCGTTCAGACATTGTGAATACAGGTACCCGATCTTGTTCTTGCCGTGATTGGCAGTTGTATAGGATACCATGTTCTCATGCCGTTGCTGCTCTCACATCATATAAAAAGGATGTGTATGCCTTCACAGATAAATATTTCACTGCAGCTAGTTATCGCGAGTGTTATAGTAAAGAGGTACACCCCATCCCTGATAAACTTGAATGGTCTAGAACCCGACTAGTCCGACCACCCAAGTTCCGTCGCCCACCTGGACGACCTGAAAAGAAGCGATTATGCGTGGAAGATCTTAATCTTAATCGTGAAAAGCATACTGTCCACTGTAGTAAGTGCAATCAAACTGGACATTACAAGACAACCTGTAAAACAGAGGTTGTTCAAAGTACACAACAGTTCTAGATGTATAGCCACCCCAATCCCCTTTATTTTCTTTCGAGTTGAAAAGTTCTCGAGGAAGGTTCAAAACGATGGTAATGGACCCGTCCCTCTACTCTCTGCCACTAGGGTTAGTGCCCTTTCTCGAAGTTTTTCATTATCTTTTTAGGTTCCTCTCTTGGAAATAGAATTAGAAAATATTGTAGAAAGATGTAAGATTAGAGATCTCAACTAGCTTCATATATTGTAAAATAGGGTTTGCTTATTATAACCCAATAACTCTTATCTCAGTGATTGTGAGGAAATGTGTTTTATACTTTATTTGGTTTCTGTTATCAAAAGCAAATTCTTATAGTTCAAGATTGTCTTTTTCTGTTTTCACTCATACAATTAATTAGAAGAGAAAGAGGTGTAAGTATCCTCTAAAACTTATTCATACTCCGGACTCGAATTTGAGACCTAGTTAACGGTAGAGGAATTCTATTTCTCTCACCACAAACTTGGTCGGTAATACTCATTACTTTATTCATACTCAGGACTCGAATCTGAGACCCTAGTTAAGGGTAGAGGAATTCTATTTATCTCACCACAATCTTGGTCGGTAATACTCATCACTTATGGAGGAAAACATTTCCATATTAAGTTGGTTAAAAAAATTTGGAAAACAAGTTCTTCACCCTCAACCCCACACTCCTGTCCATATGTCTCATATTATTTGTCTAGATTATATATAAATATTTTTAGAATAATATTTTGAATATAAGAAACTAGTAAGAAAATCACTTGTTCTTGAAAAGAAAAACTCAAATTTTCTCAGTTTTGAAAGTCTTAAACTGATATAAATAAAAATAATAGTAGTAATAGTTACTCCATTCCTCTTTAGTTGTCATAGTTTCCTATTTTAGAGTGTAAACGATATGAATTTTGACGATGTATTTTTTTTATCATATTGATATTACATTTATAGTACTTTTCGTATAATTTTTTTAATATCTAGAATTTTATTTTAAAATATCAAATAAATATAATCTAATTTAAAATTTAAAAATTAATCAAATTGATTCTCGTAAAGTACAACATAACAAATAAAAGAAGGATGAACTAATGGAGTAATAGGCAATAAATTTCTCACAGCTATATTAACTACAATTAATGAAAACCATAAATAAAAGTAATTCACCCAAAACAATAACACCTAACAAAAAAAATTTAACGTACGTGAAAAAAAAAACTCCCCCTTCAAGTTATATATATCTTAATAATATAATTTTTTTATATATCAATATAATTTAACTTGTTATAACAAAAAAAAAAAGAAATCGCGAGAACATGGAGCCCCTAGCTATTGTTGCTTTCACAGGGGGAATGATTGGACAAATAGGGATTCTTCTTCTTTGGTGTCGACCTATCTACAATTGTGTTCGAAGATTTGTTGATTGTCTTAGAAATCCACAACCTTTACCTCCTCAAGAAGAAATTAATGAAAAGATATTTAACGCTTTAAAAGATCGATTTCATTCATGAAATAGCTCAAAGGTGTGGATTTAGAACAAGTTCTGCAAGTTCAATCTAACTCGTTGCTTTCAGTTTGAATTATGTATACATATTTCAAACAAAAAAAAAGATACAATGAGGTTATATTTATTCTACATCCCGACTCCAAATCAGTGGTGTACACAAGATTTTTTGTGCAGGTATTATTGATTTATGTCATGATTCGGCTTGTTAAGGAGTTAAATTGAGAAATTATGTTAGATTACACTTTATTTTGTGCAAGTAAAGATTATAATTATGTAATAATCAAAAGAAATAGTATCGTGAAATATAATGCAAGTATTTTTTAATAACGAGTTAAATTGCACTGATAATATAAAATGATAAATTCATAGGGATATTGTATAACAAATGAAAAAAGTTCACTTACACTCTATTTGGATCATTGTTACCCATTGTTTCATAATGTATTGTATTGTATTGTACTCTATTGTACTGTACTGTATGATAGATACAATGTTTGGCTAGATTGTATTGTTTGTTGTTGTTTAATAACATTTTAATTGTTTGGTTTGATTGTATCGTACTGTATTGTAATTTATAAATTTACTAAAATATCCTTAATTATTCTAGGGTAGGAGATTTGACTAGAATTAAATAATATAAGGTAAAGGGTAAAATAGTATTTTGAAATATTATGTAAAGATATAATTGGAAAAAGAAATTAAGTAACAATGGGAACACACCAAATCAGTTATTCCATAAAATAGGGGTTTTTATTGTTACGTAACAACGACATTTAACAATACAATACAATACATTTTTAAGTAACAATCAAAACAAACGTTGTAGGTATAGTAACGATACAATACTTAGTGTAAGAGAAATTAATTACATTACAAGAATATAAAACATAGCATAATCGATTAACATCCAATTTTATTGAAACATCAACATTACAAGCTACTCTGCATCTATTTTGCTCGAATTCTTAAAAACTGTTATTGTATTCGTATCAAATCATATAAAAATACATAATTTTTGGAGAATCACACACATCAGACAATATTTTTGAAGAATCTGAATAACATAATCAACGACGATGATGATTAATTTGTGCTAACAGCAACAACAGGTCCTTTCATTGCAGCAGAAGCAGCAACACATCGCAAACATACTGCATTTTCAAGATTTATAAAATCACATTAAAAAATTAAAAAAAATTAGAATAAACATGATAATATTTATATAGATTTACTTATATATCTATTAATCAACTACACATCAAAAAGAAGAAGTAAAATTCAAGTCCAAACAATAATGTTGACTTCAACTTAAAATATTTTAAAAAAAAATTAGCAGAAAATGTCCTTGAAAAAATAAAATAATTATGTCAATTCTCATGTAACTCTACTAATTGTTATTATTTTTCACTAATAAAATAAAACTAAAAAAATAAATAATAACAAACCAAGCATAGAGGCATCCTTTTTCTTCATGTTGCCTTTGGACATTATCATAATATGACATATTTTGATATTTTGGGGGAGCATCCATTTTCTTTCTTTCTATGTGTGAAAAATATATGAAAAATTGCCTAATAAAAAGAATGTGAAAGTTGATAAAGAATATTAATGGAGTAGAGGTGAATAATTAATGTTGGAGGCTGGAAAAAAAAACAGATGGTAAGTTGTCTAATTAATAGGGTTACTTTGGTCACCTCGACTATTTCATCGGATATAGCAAAATCTTAGTAGACCTTAATTATTTTATTGGGTATTTGTTATTTTTCATTGACACTCATAGTAAGAAACTCTGTCCAACAAGTAGGGGTGGAGCTATAATTAAAACATCCTCTGTTGGAAAATTATATTGGTAGTGTTATTGCAACAAAAGAACAGCTAAGTGAATATCCTTCATTGAAAAATTATATAGCGACCGAAGGATGGCTAATTAAACACCCTTCATAAAAAATTATATATGAAATGCCTAGGATTAAGAATATGAATTATTGATTAGAATATTAAAGAACTAGAGGTGAATAATTAATGATGGGGACCTAAAGGAATTAAGAAGATGGTTAGTTGTCTAATTAATAGGGTTATCTCGAGCACCTTAATTATTTCATCGGATATTTATTAAAGTAAACTTTTTTGCAAATCTTCATTATTCTATTGAGTTTTTGTTATTTTTCATTTGACACTCATAGTCAACAAGCAAGATAGCGTTACAACGATCGAAGAGTGGTCAATTGAACACTCTCTATCAGAAAATTATATTGTTAAAACTATAGCATTGAAAGATAGCTAATTGAACATCCTTCATTCAAAAAATTATGGTGTATATATTACGATTTTCACTCACTTCATTAATCGTAACGCCCATACCTCTGGTTGCTGCAGTGCTTTCTCAATTTTTCTTAAATTTTTTTTTTTTTGGCATTTATTAATTGGAAGACAACTATGCAAGTGAAGAATACAACTAGACAACAATGGTTCACATGTCTATGTATCCTAACATATTATGACCCTAGCTGGCTTGTGACCTACTCACATTTTCATGTCTTTTTGACATTGTACTATATAGTTTAAAGAGTTAAAAAAGCATTTTATCATTATTTTCGCAAACTTCATACATTAACTATCCATTGTTCTCTTTTTACACACTCCGTCACTTCGATGCTGAATTAGCCAAATATTTATTTCCAAGACTAATTCAACATCTTTTAATACAACAGAAAGTAATAGTTAAATCGGACCAACCTTTGTAGTGTTTGCCTAGGTGCGCGGATTCAGGATTTAACGTTTAAATATTTTGGACCACAACCTCTTTTTTATTTATTAAGTGTTGAATTGATACAAACAAATACAGAACTTTGGAACAAAACTACTGAGTTATGACTTGTGTCAAAATTGTAACTTCAACAGTAAATCCAGCCATATGCATACATCAATTGCATTAAAAAATAAAACTGTGATGTAAGTGAGTGTAACCAAACAACAGCAACATACCAAGTGTAATCCCACAAATGTAGTCTGGGGAAGATAGAGTATACGTCGACCTTACTCCGACCTCGTAGAGGTAGAGATAGAGAGACTGTTTCCGATACTTACCTTTACCTAGTGTAAGTGAGTGCAACCAAATGACTTATCTTTTTAAAAAGCCAAAAGAATAAGTAAATGGTAGTAGCAAGTCACTTAGCACAGCTTTGGGAAATAGTTGAAATGTGAACATGATGCCTTGTGGCATCTCCTATATACATCCATATTCCAAGACACAAAATCCATACACTAAAGAAACAGGACATGCATGTTTCCTTTTTACTTCTTCACGAAATAAAAACCGTGTGAATGAGAGCTAAAATGGTTCTTTCTATCGATCAAGATCAAATTAGCAAGAAACGAGACAGGTGGGGGGTTTAACCAGACCTGGAATATTAGAAGGAACGGTAACAGGTTCATAATTAGCGGCAATTTCTAGGCGCTCCCATGTCAACCTTCGTCTCTCAGCTGCTACATTTGACTTTGCATTATCTTCTTCAAGCTTGTGTTGGCACTCGAGTACAAGCTCTTCATCCATCTCGGAAAAGACTTTCCTCACGTTTTGACTGAGGTTAAGAACTGCTTTATTCCAGTGGTTCTGGCTGTTCCTTTCTAAAGCTGAGATAATAATTGGCATGATCACATGCCTGTTATGCATCACGAGGTTAAGGACGTTATCGTTGTTCCACAAAAAATGTGCTCTTTCAGCCACCTGCAAGTTCGTTAAAAGAGGGAGAAAGTCTGAATGAATTCAAGAAAGTCTACATTCGGAAGAAAAAGAAAACAGAAACAAGAATTAACCAGATATTAAACAAATTTCCAATTTCACACACCCCTTGGGTGCAGCCCTTCTATGAACCTTGTGTGAAGACGGGATGTTTCATGCACCGGGCTTCCCTTTTTTGTACAAGTGGAACAAACCCCCTCCCCACCTTCTCCCACAAGAGAAGGGAAAAAGAAAAGCAACTACAACTCAATCATAAACTTTGGTCAGCTATATGAATATTCTATATAAGTATTATCTACTCTGCTCCATTTGGACCCATTTCATTCCAGTATTCTTTTGGGAAAAAAAGAAGGATTATGCATCTTTTATGCCAAAAGTGGTATAACAAAGTAAACTAGCCTCTTGGAGGTACTTGGAGTTTAGAGCTTTGAAAAGTATAGATATACTAATTTTGATAACCGTGGCGTGCCCGTGTCAACTTGCGTGTACCTCAACTAATTCTACGGGATACTTGTTACATCCCACCAACACAAATACCGGGTAACTCTGTCCACCAAGCAATGGACAGATTCCAAAAATCACCCAGTATGTTTAACTTCATTGGGTTTTGAATCTGAGACCTTGACAACGAATAAATATTAAGATAAACAAGATGCTGAGTAGGCCCTTTCAAAGGCTAGAAGATATCCCGCAAAGAAATGGGAGACGTAGCATGTTGATCAAGAGATGATAAATAGCTAGCTTTGTTGTTAACAATAAATCTTCAAGAATTCTACAGATAAGAAATCTATATCTTCAAGAATTTCACATAATATTGACAAAAGTTTTCAAAGGAAGGAAGGGTGCAATAAAATGATGGGTAAGATCTCAAAATCTGACTTCCGAGGTCTTCTTTTTTCCTTCTCCTTTCGCGAAGCCAGCTTCTAACGTTCAACTTAAAGTTAAAACTATCAGTATGGTATATAAAGACACAAAAACTAGTCTACTAATTGCATGAAATGACAAAAAGTTTCATGCTTGGTGACATCCTAAGCTTCACAAACCATTCTAAAGTTGTGGACACAACATTTGAAGTTGAAATTACCATAACCTTAAGCCCGAGCATTGAATTTGCTATTTATCTAACATGCATATATAATTATTGTCTCCAATTCTGTCGACTAGACATCACCGAGACCAATTCAATTATGTACCAATGATGGTAGAGAGGTTTCAGAGAGACCCTCGACTCAAGGAGAGACCATAACAATTGCATGGAGCTCCCTCTTTATTGTGACCATAATAGTTTGAGAGTTATGCAATCCAAGAGCGTTTTGATTAAGAAATATTACCTGGAAATGGGAGCTGTTAAGGCAATAGCCGATACGACGAAACAGTGGCACCATGATTTTCTCAAACTCTGGAATACTGATCATTTCTAAAATCTCCTCCAACTCACTGATGAACATCAATTGTTTCTGGCTACTTGTCACTGGCCAATATCTCAACAATCTCGTTATCACTATGCTAGCCAGATTTTGTTCCTTTTCTATGAACTGTACAACACAATATGCTAATTGTTGATGATAGATACCCAAGGATTTTGGCTTGTGTAGAGGTAGCAAGGCCCTTGAGAAGAATAATCTATGCTCTTCCTTTAATGGTAAAGCAAAACCACTAATTACACTTCCGAAAACCTCCAGCAGCTCCGCAATCCCATTATGTCTTTCAGTCTCAAAAGCGAAACGATAAAAGATATTGCTTACAGCCTTTCGAATAGCAGGCCGGTGCATCATGAACTTCCCATAAAGGCGATGCAATATTGATTTCAAGCATTCTCTTTCTCTTGGGTCCTCAGAATCAAATAGGTCAAGCAGTTTCAATATAAAAGAATGGTCCACGTATTTCTTAGCAACCTTTGCATCAAGAGAACCTTGGCCGATTACGCTAAGGAACAAGTCATAAACAAGTTGTAAATGACACCAAGCTGGATCAAACATTGGTTCTTCATCTTCACTTTCACCACGAGCTGAGAAATACTTGGGAGGAAAAGTTCTGAACATGTTAACTCCACACATTTTACATACTGCAGCAATTGCTGATTCCGTGAATCTTGCAGATCCTGAAGCAACAAACTCATTCAGCTCCAGCAAAACTTGTCGTTTCAAGTCCTTCTCTGCGGAATCTTTATCTGGATCATTGAAATCATAAATGGTACAGCAGAGATTCAACTTGCTTACAAATAAGCTTTGCTTCTCCGCATTTGAAACATCTTTAAAGGGCACATGTGGTGCCACAGACTCACCACCAGCCACAATACTCGCAGGAAAAATTGCTGTCGACATCCGTTTCACTACATTCAGCCTGTTTGCTATGACGGTGCAACTATTGGTAAATTGAATTCCATTCCCCAGGTTTGAGGTGTTGTTGCAGGAATTGCTTCCCGATGAATCAAACGTATCACATTTTGATGATTTCCTAGGAAGTTTTGCAAGAATTTGCTTAAGCATAGTAGCGTTGCTCCAACTTGCAGCTAGACTAAACCTAAGCCAACACTCCAAAATAATCTACCTACGCAAATTTCAAAGAAAAAAGCATAAGAAAACAAACCACAAGACAACAAAACTTTGAAGAAAATAGCATATCTTGTGGCAAACATAACCAGAATGTTTAGAAGACAGCTTTATTATCAGAATTACATGTCTTAAATTCACATATCAATTTTTTCATCTAAAAGCTCATTAAAACCAAAATCTCATTCCTAAATCTACAGTTGCATAAATCTCAGATCTGGGACAGAATTTACACAGAGGCCACCACAACACGAAATGGAACACTGAGCAAGATCAATTAGTAGATTACTGACATTCAGAGGCCAAGAAAGTAAGCACTGTGAAGAAAAGGATCAAACTTGAGCTATATCAGTTTCAGCAAATTTTGAACAACTAAAGTTGAAATCTTTAACTACTCCAACAACTTAAACCCAAAAAAGGATCAAACTTGAGCAATATCACAGCATTTCTCAAAAGATCTAAGAGACAAAGTAAGAAAATAGAACCTGGGGTTTTGCTAATCAGCTCTGTAGCTAAGGAATTGCCCAAAAGTACTCCAATAACTATTCAAGAAACCAAAAAAAAGGATCAAACTTTAATAACATCTCAGCATTTCTCAAAAAAGATCTGACAGATAGAGTGAAAATAGAACCTGGGGTTCTGCTAATCTCCTCTAAAGCTAAGGAATTCCCCAAAACTACACCAACAACTATTCAAGAAACCACAAACTTTAGCAACATCACAGCATATCCCAAAAAGATCTGACAGATAGAGTGAAAATAGAACCTGGGGTTCTGCTAATCAGCTCTGACGTAATGGAATTGCCCAAAACTACACCAACAACTATTCAAGAAACCAAAAAAGAATCAAACTTTAGCAACATCACAGCATTTCCCAAAAAGATCTGACAGATAGAGTGAAAATAGAACCTGGGGTTCTGCTAATCAGCTCTGAAGTTATGGAATTGCCCAAAACTCCACCAACAACTATTCAAGAAACCAAAAAAGAATCAAACTTTAGCAACATCACAGCATTTCTCAAAAGATCTAACAGACAGAGTGAAAATAGAACCTGGGGTTCTGCTAATCAGCTCTGAAGTTATGGAATTGCCCAAAACTACACCAACAACTATTCAAGAAACCAAAACAGAATCAAACTTTAGCAACATCACAGCATTTCCCAAAAAGATCTGACAGATAGAGTGAAAATAGAACCTGGGGTTCTGCTAATCAGCTCTGAAGTTATGAAATTGCCCAAAACTACACCAACAACAATTCAAGAAACCAAAAAAGAATCAAACTTTAGCAACATCACAGCATTTCTACAAAAGATCTAAGATACATAGTGAAAAATAGAACCTGGGGTTTTGTCAATTTCCTCAAAAGATTCCTCAGATGAAATTACAGAAAGATTGAAACTTTTTAACAATACTAATAAAGAGAGAAGGTAAGAAGAAGAAAAAACAGGTAATGGAGGCAATCACATCATGTCTTTCTTTTTTAACTTGGGATTGAAGACACAATGATGGGTTTTTGAGGAGCCCATTTTTTTTTTCTTTCTTTCTTGATTACCTTTATCAAGAAAAACACACACACACACTCTAATTTCTTTCAAATTCTTGATTGTTCATTCATGTCTTAAACTAAGCAGTAGTACTACTACTCTACAACTACAATGGCCTCTCTCTCTTCCATTTTCTCTGTCCTCGATCCAAGTGCCACAGCTTGAATGACTCAGTGGTATCTTCACAGAAATTGCCGGCATTAGATGGTGACTCTTATGTACTCATATTAATTATTTTTTCTTCTTCCTCCTAACATTATTTACTTTGTCAAATACTGTTTCATTACACCAACCGTAAAGCCACTTTATTTTATTTTTTTCACTTTTTGCGAGTTTGTTATCTTAACTATTCACCATTCATATTTTAACCATCACTTATTAAAATTAAGGATAATACTAAATGGCCAGAATTTGGTCAGAAATTTAAAATGTTTATGATATTTTATTTTATTTTAAAATAAACTGATCTTTTTTTATTTTTTTATTAAAATGTATTAAAGTTAAAAGGATAAAAATATTTTAAAAGGTAAAATATCATTCTGGCCAAAAGGATTTTTCCTAAAATTAAAATATATTTTTGATATTTATTTGGCTTATACGTATCTGTTATTGTCGATTGGAAACAAATATTTGATTAGCTCAACCTTGATGGTGAAAGATGAAAAAAATAATAGTGTAAATATGTTTTTAATTATTTAACATTTTTAATTATTTTTTCCGAATGTTTAGTAGTGCTTTTTTCTTAAAAAATAATTCTGATCAATTCAGATTCACATATTAAAAGATCTATTAAAAGAAAAAAAAATATTTATGATACGCTAATAATTTTTATTACTAGAAAAAATGGAGAAATGCTATTCGAATTTATAATATGAATATCGAACGTTTGAGTAGAAGATAAAAAAAATATACATATTTAGATACACACTTTGTTGTTGACACATTCAGCTCGTGGTATAATTTCACAAGATTCTTGTTAGTTCTACTATCCTTTTTTTTTCCTTTATTTATTTATTCTTTTTGTTCAATCACAAAAATTATGAATATTTATGTTAGCCCAATCTATTAATTATTAGTAGTATATTTAGGTTTTATAAATTGATTTTGTCTTTCATTCTCTTCAATTATTTTCCACATCATCATTAGTATTTAGATTTTATAAATTCAAACGGCAAATCATTCACGATTTTATTTTAATTTATCAATTACTAGGTCACATTCTTAGACGTCAACATCAATGTAAATTTCATTAGTCATGGGAACGACCAAGTGAATTTGCTCAAATATATTATATTATAATATAATTACAATGTAGTAGTTAAAAAGAAAAAGTTGGGTAAAACTTTTTTGAAAGAAAAAAATCATGTGGTCACGCTTTTTATTTTTTTCTATTCGTGTGTTTTATATACAATATAATAATAATTGTGTCTTAGTTCTAAACAAGTGGAAATTGATTGTATAAATATTCATTTCAATATTTAAACTCATCATATCATTAAAAATAAAAAATAAGTTAAAAATATATTCATCCGAGTCCAAAATATATTCTTAAGTAGTGATTATTACCTATATGAATCTTTTTCTTTAATTATGTTCTATCTTTAGCTAAGTCTGTATTGATATCAAGCAATTGCGCTACAAATCTTTGAGATTATTATGTGATTTTAGGTCTATTTTGTCTACTTTTTACACTTTCACTTGTTATATTTCACATTTACAGAACAGTCCATCTATAGATCGACACAAAACATGTCACATCATCTCAAGCGACTTTCTTGCATTTTATCCTCAACGTATGCTACTTGCATCTTTATGAATATGATCATTTCTATTCTGATAAAATCACACATTCATCTTAATTTCTATATCTCCGCAACTCTCATCTTGTGAATATTTTCCCAAGTTGAGCGCATTCATGGTGATTGATTGCCCAAAATAAACTAACAACAATTATTATTATTTCTGAGTGTGTATGCCTTGATAATAATTATTATTAATCATATAAGCGTGGATAAATGAAATGAAGATTATGTCACATCAATGTTTTTCAAACAAATGTTTATGTCGGTATACACTTTATTTTATTTTTTTACTTTGTTAAAAAGGATCCAAATTAATTAGTCCAAATACATTGCAACTTAAATTAAATCATGTGTAATAATAGCTAGTGGATTATATGTTGGACCAATTGCATACCATTATTTTAGCCTAATTTTATGTGTCTTTTTTGTTTTATTTTCTTGCACTTTTCATTTAAAAAAACATGTTTTTAATTAGGTGGTTTATATGCTTTTTGTTTGCGGTGATAATTATTATTTAGTTTCTTTAATTATCAGGAAAAAACTTCATTTAGGGTGTGTTTGAAATGAAGGAAGAAAAAAATTCCACAAAAAATATTTTCTTGAAAACAAGTGATTTTTAAAATTTATTTTTTAATATTTAATAAGTAAATAAAAAAATATCATCTCACGAACAGTTAGACAGAATGGGGATAGCATGTTGTAGGGGTAGGGTTAGGAGTTGGGATGAGAGGTGGATGGCGGGTCGTGAGTGTTGAGTATTGAGAATAGAGAGCAACAATCAACGTGAAATATACTTACGACACTTATTTTTCTTACTTGTATCAGGAAATTATTTTTTTGGTTTTTAAAAAACTTATTTTCTCAAATGAAATATTTTGACCAACTAAATATAAAATAATTGAAAAACATTTTCATGTCAAATGCACCCTTAGAGTTAGTGCAAGAGTTAAGTGTATCAATTTGTTAATTAGGTGTACCAAAACAAATTGTTGAATCGCAATTCTAAAGCTAATTAATTAACAAATCCACTTATTGCTTAATTGTCAATTAGTTACACTGTCCTCATCTTAATTGTGTTAAAATTGATTTCAACTTGACAAAAAAATATATGCAATGAAATAACAACAAGATAACATGAAATTAAAAATGTGGTTTAACCGTTAATAAAGTATGTGAAATCTTGGTAGATTAAGGATCAAAATCTTAGTAATTTTTTTAAAAAAATATGTATGTTCAACAATCAACTACCTAAATTTTGATAGCTAGAGTGATCTTATATATTTATATACACATGCATTCGATGTAATTAATTTATTTTACTTTTTTTTAATGGGCATTACGTCGCACAAATTCAAATTAATCGAAACTTTTTTTTAATCGAATTAATCGAAGCCTTTTTTTTATCGAATTAATTGAAGGCTTAAAATGAATGTCAAACACTAAATAAATTTTATAAAGAATAATCTATTAATTTAATATAAATATCAAATATAAATAAACTTTTATTATACGCATATATATTAATTTGAACATCACTATGAATAAATAAAAAATTAGAAAAGGAACAAAATAACTATGGGAAAGTAGACATCAATATTGATGTCTAGATTTTTATTTTTTATTTTTGTGAAAAAAAAAAAAAACATATGATTGGCACCAAATAAGAAATCCAAGAAGACCAGATAAAAACAATAAGTTTATTATGGGCAGATAAACTAAACTAGATAGAAACTGTCACTTGTGACATCTAAAAAATTGTGTCTAATTAATTATAGTAAATTCTATGATTGACCTAATCTTAATTTTTAATCAATATTCTTTTTATTCTTAATATTCCTATCCACTCTGGCTCACTTTTGCATGTGACAAATGTACCAAAAAGAGCAAATAGCATGTGATAAGAGAGATATTTGGATATTGTATTATTATTATTTTTTCACAATTAAGACAAAGTTAATGAATTGTTCCCTACTCATGTGAAGTCTCATGGTTGACACATTATTTTGTTCTTCAAGATTCTTTATTTTGTTTACTATATACCAATCTTAATTAGAGGATTCGAGTTTGAGCTCTGAGTATGAAAAAATCTTTGATAAGAGTATTTCCCATCGAATGAGGTTTTACGTAGTGTGAATCCGAAATAACAAAGTTTTAATGTGAATATCAGACATCAGACAAAAGATAAAAAAAAAATACCAAGGTGATATTATTATAGAACATGGTCTTTGGCTTTTTATCTTTTTTTCTCCACCACTCATTCATTTCCATCCTCCTTTTTGTTTTGAAGACAAAATTAATTTAAGCAAAAGTACTTTGTTAGTTGACAATAGAAGCCTCTTTCTTTTAAATATATAGTTTTAATTTCAAGATTGAGAAAGTTGAAGTTTTTTTTTTTTTTTTGGTTTCTTTAAGATCCTTTAGTAGCCTTAATTAATAACAAATTATATATGAAGGAAAAAAAATACTAGAACAATATATTTAGTGCAATGAAGTCTATAAAGAATAAGATGCACATGTCTTGTCCTTGTCTTTATGGGATCGAGAGGCTATTTTCGATTGATTCTTGATAATTCTTTTCTTTTATTCGGACACTTAAAATTGATAACGTGAGCGAACTCACACATACAAAGTTAAATTATGGAGAAGAAAAAAAGATCTCTAAAGATATTCAATAATTGTTTGAAAAATATGTAGTCGAAGTTAGAAAAAAACAAGTGATGAAGGCAATCTGAAAAGGACAGAAAGACTTCTATTCTAACAAGCTTTTGAAAAAGAGGTGCATAAGACATCGGAGTGCTATGGGTACCTCCCTAACAGGAAAATGATGTGTTTATCAGTTTCGATAAAAAATGTTATGCTTACACACAAAACTACCTCTCCTCTCGAAAGATTCGCAGGAACTTCTTAGGACGATATACATCTATAAGCATAAGGTATGTATACTATTTGAACTCAATAATGGTATGACCTAAAGATTAAATATGTGAGGTCTGATCGGCTATGAACAAATACATGTCATGAGTTTGAATCGTAACAAATATAGTCTAGCAGGTGAAGTTAAAAGTAAAAAAAAAAAAAAAGTATGTCTAATGTCTTCCACAACTTATTCTAAATCCAAAATTATCTGTAAAGTTGATTGTCTGGTTCTACTTTTGTGATATATCCTTATCTACTATTGAAAATTTGAACTTTGATTGATAAAAAGATACTCACCCACCAACAAAAAAGAGAGGCCTTTGTCACTAAAAGACACAACAAACTGCAAAAAATTTGTAAAAGTGAAATTAATCGAGTAACATTCTTCTCCAAGATATAACTAGGCATGTTTAAACATCATCGATTAATAATTATTAGTGATATTTGTTTAATACCATTCCAAATGATACCTTTTCATATTTAAAATTATTTACCAATGTATATGCATCAA